CCCTGATTTAACCTCATACAAAAATTAAACTCAAAATGGATCACAGGGACTTCCCTGGTGGAGCAGTGGTTAAAAATCCGCCTGCCAATGCAGGGGACACGGGTTCATGCCCTGGTACGGGAAGATCCCACATGCCGCGGAGCAACTAAGCCCGTGTGCCACAACTACTGAGCCCACGTGCCACAACTACTGAAGCCTGTGCACCACAACTACCGAAGCCCGCGTGCCTAGAGCCCATGCACCACAACAAGAGAAGCCATCACTATGAGAAGCCTGTGTACCGCAGCAAAGAGTAGCCCCCACTCACCTCAACTAGAGAAAGCCCGTGCACAAAACCAAAGACCCAACACAGCTAAAAATAAATAAATAAATAAATTGATTTTTTTTAAAAATGGATCACAGATTCAAATGTAAAACTATAAACTTTTAGGGGAAAAAAAATACTTGAGGCAAATATTTAGAATCTAAACCTACTGTGATGGTTAATTTTGTGTGTCAGCTCAGCTGGGCCAGATATTTGGTGAAGCATTATTCTAGATGTTTCTGTGAGGGTGTTTTGGATGCAATTAACATTTAAATTGGTGGACTCTGAATAAATCAGGTTGCCCCCTGCCCCCAACAGAGTGGGTGGCCTCATCCAGTCAGTTGAAGGCCCTCAGACAACGGAAGACTGACCTCCCGTGCAAGAATAAGTTCTGCCAGCAGACAAACTTCGGATCTGAACTTCAACACTGGCTCTCCCCTGGGTCTCCGGCCTACCATCCCACCCTGCAGGTGTTGGACTTGCCAACTTGTATAATCACATAAGCCAATTCCTTAAAATAAATCTCTCTCCATGCACACACACACACACACACACACACACACACGCCTTATTGCTTGTTTCCCTGGAGAACCCTGACTAATAGAGCTATATAGCGAGTTCTTAAGATTTGACACAAAAGCCTGATCCATAAAAGGGAAAATTAATAAATTGGACTTTATCAAAATTAAAAACCTTTGCTCTGCAAAAGACACTGTTAAGAGTACAAAAAGACATTGGGAGAAAATATTTGCAAATTATATATCTGACAAATGACTAGAATCTAGACTATACCAAAAAAAGACTCTCTAATCAGCTTGATGCTTTGTGATGACCTAGAGGGGTGGGATAGGGAGGGTGGGAGGGAGGCTCAAGAGGGAGGGGGTGTGGGGATATATGTATGCATATGGCTGATTCGCTTTGTTGTACAGCAGAAACTAACACACCATTGTAAATTGCAATTACACTCCAATAAAGATTAAAAAAATAAAAAGTAAAAAAATTTAAAAACTCTCCAAACTCAACAGCACAAAAGTCTAATTAAAAATAGGCAAAAGCCTTGAAGAGACATTTCAATGAGAAGGATCTACTGATGGCAAATAAGCACATAAAAGGTGTTCAACATCATTAGCCATTCGGGAAATGGAAGTTAAAATCAGGAGCAATCACTACACACCTATCAGAATGGCTAAAATAAAAAAGAGACAACACCAAATGCGGGTGAGCATGCAGAGGACCTGGACCACAAGCACTGCTGACGTAAGTGTAAAATGTGCAGCCGCTCTAGGAAACAGCTTGGCAGCTTCTTGAAAAATTAAACGTGCAACTGCCATATAACTGCTGCTTAATTTTCTTGAAAAGTTAAACAGCAATTATACACACGGGCATTTATGCCAAAGAAATAAAGAAGGTACGTTCACACAAAAACCTGTGCACAAACGTTTATACGTAGCAGCTTTGTTTGCAAAAGCCAAGAACTGGAAACGCAGACATTCTTCAATGGGTGAATTATTTTTAAGTACGGTACATCCATACCATAGAATACTAGTTAGCAACAAAAAGAACAAACCCTGATACACACAACAACCTGGATCAACCTCCAGAGAATCATGTGGAATGATAAAAGCCAATCCCGGGGACTTCCCTAGTGGTCCAGTGGTTAAGAATCCACCTTCCAACGCAGGGAACGCAGGTTCAATCCCTGGCTGGGGAACTAAGATCCCACATGCTGCAGGGCGACTAAGCCCACATGCCACAACTAATAAGCCCACGCGCCACACCTAGAGAGCCCACGCATCTCAACTACTGAGCTTGTGAGCCACAACTAGAGAGAAGCCCACGTGCCGCAAAGAAGAGCCTGCACACTGCAACAAAGATCCCGCGTGCCGTAACTAAGACCTGACACAGCCAAATAAATAAATAAATAAATAAATAAATAAATATTTTTTAAAAAGCCAATCCCAAAAAGCTACATAGGCTGTGAGTCCATTTATATAACATTCCTGAAATGACAATATTATAAAAATGGAGAACAGATTAGTGGTGGTGAGCGGTTAAGCGGCGTTGGGGGTGGGAGGGGAGCGGGTGTGGCCATTAAGAGGGCAACATAAGGGTTCGTGGTGTTGATGGAAACGCCCAGCATCTCACCTGTACCAACATCAACACCCTGACTGTGATACTACGGTCCAGTCTGGCAAGACGTTACAACGGAGGTAAATGGACAGAGGGCACAGGGGACCCCTCACTATGGTTTCCTACCACTGCTTATGGAGCTACAATCATCTCAAAATGGAAGTTTAGTTAAAGAAGACTGATCAGTACTACCATGTCAGAAGAATGAAAATCTCCTAGCAGAGACACGGCGGGGAGGGCGTAGATACTGACTGGGAAGGGGCTCATGGCTTTACACAAGCACAAATCTATCAAGCCATACATTTAAGATTAGTACAATTTACACACGTGATTATATGCTATGCCTCAGTGAAAAATTATTTTAAGTTGCCTTTTGGTGATTAATCTTGTTCACTGTAACCATGATATGATTATATATAATTTTTTTTAACTGTCTGTACATTTATCAACAATGAAACCGTGGGCAGCTTTTAGCAGAAGCTGTTTAGGTGGGGTGGTGAAGCCATATGAGACCAGGTTAAGGAATGAGCAGGAAATGAGCGAACACAAAGAAGCAAATACGTGCAACTCTTTCCAGAAGTTGCCAGTAAAGAGTGATAAGGTGATACTCGGAAGGGAAGGTATTGCTGAAGAGCTTTACTAAAATAGGAAAACATGAGCAAATGTACATCCTGAAGGAAAAAACTTGGTAAATAATGAGTCTAAAGCCATACGAGCACAACGCTACACAATGTTTAGCAAAAGGTTTGTGAAAAAGAGGGAAAAGCAAATATGAAGAGACCACTCATTGATAGAAGATGCCACGCCTGCACTGCCTGTACTGGGGGGAGATCACTGATGACACTGGTGCACCTGTAGGTTTCATGGTGGGAATAACTGTAACAGAAACGACGACGACAACCGTAATGACAGCTCTGTGGTTCCGAATGCATACTGCGATAGCCAGCCCCGAGGTGACCCTTAATGTCCCGTAGCCTGACATTCACACTCTGTGCTGTAACCTCCACACAGAGCAGGGCTGAGCTGTGTGATTGCTAAGACATGACAGGGCGCAACTTCCAACATCGGGGCATAAAAGACAACGCAGCTTCCACCCTCTTCCCTCTTGGATGGCTCTGTCTAGGGGAAAGCTAGTCACAACATTCAAGCATCTGCAAAGAGGCCCAAACAGGACCACGGGAGTGACCATCCTAGAGGCAGCTGCTCCGGCCCGGCCAAGACTTCGTAAGACGCCAACCCCGTGAGAGACCCTAAGCCTTTAAAACCACCAACTAAGCTGCTTCTGAATGACTGAGCCACAGAAACTGTGACATAATAAATGTTTACTGTTTTAAGCCAGGAGATCTAGGGGTAATGTATTAAGCAGCAGTAGATACCTACTCTACCTGCTTGAGTGCCAGGCACGCTAGGTATACAGGAACCCACTCGTGATCCCCATGTCAAGAGGAGGAAACTGAGACACACAGAAGTTAAGTAACTGGCCCCAATTATCACTCAGCCGGCAAGAGATACGGACCCGGATTCAAATCTAAGGACAGCTCGATTAACTGCTGTGCATATGTCCTCCCCAAGCAGAAGCAGTTCCCACCCCACAGTTTTCACTTCTGCCGTGAAACAGAAGGCAAGACTATCTGCTAAGACAGCAGGGAAAAGCAGGTGAATCAGAGAACTGAATAAAACGGAAAAGGTCTGAAACAGCTGCCACGAAGAGCTAGGACGAGGTCTGGCTAGAGAAATCGAACAGGATTTCCAAATAGTCCAGGAGAGGTTAGGAGCCATGACCCTCCACGTAGTGAATTTAAGATGAGCACGATGAAGAGAACACAGGGCTGCTAGTGGACCTACACATAAAGCGTAATTTCAGGTGTGAAACAGTGGTGATGGCCAGATGGAAGAGAAAACACATGTCTTTCCCAAGTCCAACTAATACATACGGAGCCACGTGCAGAAAAATTCCAGGACACACGAAAAGAAATATTCTACATCAAAGTATCACGTAAGGACTGAAGAAAAGACTAAGACGAATGAGGATAAACTGACAGCAACCGCCTTGATCTCAAGCATCAGAAGTTTTTCTAGAGAACCTTCCCTTTTTCCTGTCTCCACTCAAAATGTCACAAGAAAAATTAAAACCTATAAAAGAAAAAGAACATACTAGTTCCATTACCATCAGACACACCTTAAGAGCAGCCTCACTGACTGAATTTGATGAATAAAACTTACAACAGAGCTTTAGGCCCAAAATTTATCAAATTCACTAATAATTAAACTTTTCTAAACACATTTCAGTTTCACGCATGTGCTTTTAAAATTACTTCACTTTACTTGACAAATTGACACAAAGGGGCTTCCCTGGTGGCACAGTGGTTCAGAGTCCACCTGCCGATGCAGGGGACACGGGTTCGTGCCCTGGTCCAGGAAGATCCCACATGCCACAACGGGAGAGGACACAACAGTGAGAGGCCCGCGTACCGCAAAAAAAAAAAAAAATTTTTAAATAGTAACACCTATAATTAAACGGTTATGAAGGTGGCACAAGTGTTCCATCGTCCACTTTCAGTCTTACCCTTATCTGCTCAGTGGAGCTGCTGCTAAGCTCATCACCGGACTCTGAATCGTGATGTATCCGTTCCGAGCCTTCTCCTGCTGAATCACAAGACTGTTCCTGGGAGAAGCCAGCTTTCTCTACGTCCAAGAACTCCGGACCAGGAAAGTGACCAAATAACCGTGTCCTATTCTGGCCAGAAACTTTGGGAGAATGTGAGTCACTGTTGAACTTTCCATTATTATGGGTCAGGTCCAGGCTGAGGTTGACAGTCTGACCTGGAATATAACTGGGTCCAAAATTCTGATTGGCATCACGAGTAAGACCTGTTCCTTGCACAGACGGCGACGGCTTTCCAAAACTTGAAAGCTCGGGCAATTTGCTCACATTTTCTGTGGACCTCTGCAGGTGGAGACTCTGCATCGTTTTCACAGAATGATTCGGCAGCCCCGCTGCCTGTTTCACAGGTGGCATCAGGGCTCTGCGGCCGACCTCCCTCACATACTGGGCAGGCACGTAAAACGCTTTGGAGTTCTCATCCAGCTTCACCTGCCACCAGTCATCGTTGGTCTTCTTCACCAGGATATATCGCTCCCCTTGTTTGATCACGACCTTTCTGTCCTTCGCTTCGTATTCGTAATCATATTCCACTTCAATATACACCTGCCCTGGAACAATCTTCCCACCTCTGTCAGCCATTTTCATTCCGTAATATTCACCTCTCAAAAAGGATGCTTTGCCACATTATGGCTCTGTGGCTTGTTGGATCGATACGGCTATTTTTATTTAAATGAAGGAAGAGAATGAAGAAAAAAGTTAACATAGTCTGGATTTTTAATATTCATTCACAAGCATCATAGAATAAAGAACATTACCTTCAAATCTCAAACCCAGAAATTAAACATGTGTCTAATATTGTATGTATGGTCCTGCATTACAAACGCTCTCATTCTAACTGTAATCTACATTTTTCAGTCGTTTATGACCAAAACTGAACCAATGACTGGAATGGTAAATACGCTAACCAACCAGACGTACGACTATCAAAAATAAGAGGTGAGAAGAACTTTCCTTCCTTTCATGACTACCTCAAACCTCCTTCACTTTCTTAGAAAGGCTCACTAACAATAACTAATACATGTTAGGCACTTACCAAGGCCAGGCATTGCTCTAGGTTCACTGTATGCCTTATCAAAAACCCTCTTGGAAGCTGAGGCTGAATTTCAATGACCCTGAATTTCATTCACTGACCCTGTATTCTTTATTTTCTAAAATGATCAAGTGCATTAGTGAGCTTAAAAAAGTTACCCAAATATATGTTTCATTTTCTAATATAAACTGATTAAAAAGCAGCATTGTATTTTTAGGCAAAATACACACAGAGAAAAGAATCTGCTAGTTTACTTTTGTTTCCTCTTACATCCACCCCAGGACAACGACATCCTCCTTAGCTGAATCCCACAAATCCCAGCAAGTAACCAGTCTTTTTATTTGTAAATTTTACACACACACACACACACACACACACACACACACACACACACACACA